GTCAAAATCGTAGAAAAACAAATTTCCTTTTTGTATAAATAGGAGAATCTGGAGTAATATATAAACACGGCAAGTATGAACGCTTTCACCGTGATAAAATACCGCTTAAAAAAAGAAAATTCCACTGATTTTTCAGAATTTCTGCGTAATTCAGTGGTTGAGTTATAAACAGACTAGTTCAGAGTGATTCGATGTGAAATGGTTAATTACAAAGACTCAGATGTCTTTACAGTGGTGGTAAAAGTAACCAGGGGTCACAACGTCTGCAACACAAATATAGATATTTTATTTACTGTCCAAAACCACCAGAGAACATAGACTGTAAAAAATTATGCCGCTTTTATACTTAAAAAGTAAGTAACCTGGCTAAATTGAAATTTTGAGTTCAGTGAACTTGCGATATTAAATTGACAGAAGAATAACTTGTGTTTTACATTTGTTAACTTTGCCTCACAAAGCCCTGCAAGTAGCTTTTCACCACGAAGATGTAAAAAAACAAGAAAAAAAGAGATATTTTAGGCCGAAAGCCTTATCATCACAAAACTGTCATAAAACAGTGTCTTGGGCCTCGAGCAGCGCCTTCATTTTGTGTGATAACTTTGTGTGAGGGAGCTTTTAGAGGCATTAAACTCTTCGGACGTCTGGACATCGTCTATTATAAACAGACCGCAGGAAAAAGTATTAAATACAAGAATAAAAGTATAAACACTTATAGACTGAACGCAGCATGAGGGAAAAAAACATATACACAACATACTGGGAGCGATGTTGGACAGATGTTGCACAAAAGAGTGGAAGTAAATAAATTATAGCGCTAAAAGGTGGGTGGGGGGGGGTGAGCTATATTATTGCAGTTTAAGGATGGTGGTACAATAATAGAACAGAATAATAGACTAATAAAAATAGACTAACGGAATAATAGACAGATTATCCACTGTATTCTGTTGATCAAACCACTCTGACTGTCTTTGTTTACATCTCACAGACCGAACTATTCAGGAATGCTGATAAATCGGTGGAAGTTATTGTGGGGTCAAATGATCTTTTTCGAGATTTAAACAAAAAATAATTGCTTTCTATCAGAAAAAGCCGCAGAATCAGGCGGAGAGGTGTGTAACTAAATGCCCAGTCGCTCCGCCCAGAAGCGCTGATTGACAGCGCCGATTCTTCCATCTGAACCAATGAGAGCACTAGAGGAAGCCAGAGGGTGCAGGCTGTGCCGAGAGGTGCTTTTCGACGTACCACAGGGGCGCCACTACTGTGTTAATACCGCCACTGACCGCTGGTCGGCGCCAGAGCAGCGCGGCTTATTGGCTTCGCTCAAAGCGGACGGAGATCGTTTAGCCAGAGATAATAGATGAAGCCGAGAGCCGCCGTGTCAAAACATTTCCGACAACGCAGTCACGTGGTTTCGGCGAGAGGGGAGGGGGACTCATTCCCCCTTAAGCAGACAACAGAGACTCGAGTCCCCATTCACACTAGCGGGAAATTCTGCCCTTTTCACCAAACCTTAGCGATTATTTCTCTCCCATTTAAGACTACAGCGACATAGTGGCCATTTCTGTACTGGTGAGGGACTTGTGAGTATTTCGAGCCTAAACACGCTTTTCGTATGAGCTGATCTTGAGAAAAAATCAGGTTTGTTTTGTGTTTGTTCAGCCCGCTGGCCAGTCTCTCAGCACAGGCTGCTGCTGTTGCCCCGGGAGACGGGGCTGGGTGAAGCGGCTGACGCAGGACTTAAGCAGAGAGGAACTGAACCCCTTTTCACCCCATTGACTTGACCAGGCATGCGCCATCTCGGCCTACCTTAAACAATCTTCGGTTTGTCGAACTCGCTGCCATGGAAACGCAGTCAGTGTTGATCAGAGCGACTGCAGCAGATAAACCTCAGTGATTGATCCGAGCTCCGAGCGGTGAGAGGCGGTCACGCTTAACCAGCGCAGGACAGCTCGGTCACGGGCTAAAAAGCCGCCCGAGAACGCTGGAAGGGTTTCTACAGTCTGGTGGTTTTATGTTTATGGCTAAAAAAATAAAATGAATTCTTAATTAATGTTGAAAATAATGATGTTTACGCTAACACTGTAGAAAATGTCTACAATAACTAATAAAGGTCGTTACTGGGCGGTTGCTGTGATATTCCAGATTGTTGCTAAGATGTTGTTAGACGGTTGCTAAGGTGTTGTAGGGGCTTGGTAAGCTGTGGCTAAGTGGTTGCTATGGTGTTCAAGGTGGTTGCCAGGTTGTCACTAGGCGGTTGCTATGATATCCTAGATTGTTGCTAAGGTGTTGTCAGGTGGTTGCTATGGTATTGTTGGGGGCTTGGTAAGCTGTGGCTAAGTGGTTGCTGTGGTGTTCAAGGTGGTTTGTAGGTTGTTGATGTTCCAGATTGTTGCTAAGGTGTTGTCAGATGGTTGCTATGGTATTGTAGGGGCTTGGTAAGCTGTGACTGAGTGGTTGCTATGGTGTTGAAGGTAGTTGCTAGGTTGCTATTAGCTGGTTGCTATGATTTCCCAGATTGTTGCAAAGGTGTTGTCAGGCAGTTGCTATGGTACTGTAGGGGGTTGGTAAGGTGTGGCTAAGTGGTTGCTATGGTGTTCAAGGTGGTTGCTAGGTTGTTACTAGGTGTTTGCTATGATATTCCAGATTGCAACTAAGGTGTTGTCAGGTGGTTGCCATTGTATTGTAGGGGACTGGTAAAGTGTGGCTAAGTGGTTGCTATGGTGTTCAAGGTGGTTGCTATGATATTGCAGATTGTTGTTAAGGTGCTGTTACATGGTTTGCTATGGTATTGTAGGAGTTTGGTAAGGAGTCTCTTTGTCTCTCTCTTGTCAGGCTGTTACTAGGTGGTTGCTATGATATCCCAGATTGTTGCTAAGGTATCTAAAAGTTGCTACTAGGCAGCTGCAAAGTTTTAGGTGGTTGCCAAGGTGCTGCTACGTGGTTTCTAAGTTTTTAGTGTAATTACTGTGTTATTGTATAGTTATCACTGTTATTACAGTTCAATTTCTGTTATTACTGTTTTATTTGTTATTATAGTTTTATTACTAATATTTTTATTTTAGTTATCACTGTTTTATTTGTTATTATAGTTTTATTACTAATATTTTTATTTTAGTTATTACTGTTTTCTTACTTTTTTATTACTTTATTACCATTTTATTAATGTTATTGCTGTCTGTAATGAAACCACTGACACACAGATAAACTTTGAGTTTTATAATATATGGCTTTAATCTCTCTCTCTCTCTCTCTCTCTCTCTCTCTCTCTCTCTCTCTGATCTCTCTGTCTCTTATCTGTCTCTCTCTATCTTACTCTGATCTCTCTCTTTGATCTCTCTCTATTTCTGATCTCTCTCTCTCCCTCTCTCTCTGTCTTTCCTCTCTGTCTCTCTGATCTCTCTCTCTCTGTCTCTGATCTCTCTCTCTGTCTCTTATCTGTCTCTCTCCATCTTACTCTGATCTCTCTCTCTCTGATCTCTCTCTCTCTTTCTGATCTCTCTCTCTCTCTCTGATCTCTCTGTCTCTATCTCTCTCTCTCTTACTCTGATCTCTCTCTTTGATCTCTATTTCTGATCTCTCTCTCTCTCTGATCTCTCTCTCTCTCTGTCTCTGATCTCTCTCTCTGTCTCTTATCTGTCTCTCTCCATCTTACTCTGATCTCTCTCTCTTTCTGATCTCTCTCTCTCTCTCTCTCTCTCTCTCTGTCTTTCCTCTCTGTCTCTCTGATCTCTCTCTCTGATCTCTCTCTCTCTGTCTCTGATCTTTCTCTCTCTCTCTGATCTCTCTCTCTCTCTCTCTGTCCTTCTCTCTTTCTCTCTCTCTCTGATCTCTCTCTGTCTCTCTGATCTCTATCTGTCTCTCTCTCTCTGATCTTTCTGTCTCTCTCTCTCTCTCTCTGATCTCTCTCTCTCTGTCCTTCTCTCTTTCTCTCTCTCTCTGATCTCTCTCTGTCTCTCTGATCTCTATCTGTCTCTCTCTCTCTGATCTCTCTGTCTCTCTCTCTCTGATCTCTCTCTCTCTCTCTGTCCTTCTCTCTTTCTCTCTCTCTCTGATCTCTCTCTGTCTCTCTGATCTCTCTGTCTCTCTCTCTCTCTGATCTCTCTCTCTCTCTCTCTGTCCTTCTCTCTTTCTCTCTCTCTCTGATCTCTCTCTGTCTCTCTGATCTCTCTGTCTCTCTCTCTCTCTCTGTGTCTCTCTGATCTCTCTCTCTCTGATCTCTCTGTCTCTCTCTGTCTCTCTGATTTCTCTCTCTGTCTCTCTGATCTCTCTCTTTCTCTCTCTCTCTGATCTCTCTCTGTCTCTCTGATCTCTCTGTCTCTCTCTCTCTCTCTGTGTCTCTCTGATCTCTCTCTCTCTGATCTCTCTGTCTCTCTCTGTCTCTCTGATTTCTCTCTCTGTCTCTCTGATCTCTCTCTGTCTCTCTGATCTCTCTCTCTCTGTCTCTCTGATCTCTCTCTCTGTCTCTCTGATCTCTGTCTGTCTCTCTGTCTCTGATCTCTCTGTCTCTCTCTCTCTCTCTGTTTCTCTGATCTCTCTGTCTCTCTGATCTCTCTCTCTGATCTCTCTCTGTCTCTTCCTCCCTCCCTCTCTCTCTCTCTCTCTGATCTCTCTCTCTCTCTCTGATCTCTCTCTCTCTCTCTCTGTCTCTCTGATCTCTCTCTCTCAGTGTGAAGGTGAGGATGAGTGTAACGGTTGGGAGAGGAGTGAGTGAAGGTGAGTGAATCAGTGGACTGTAATAACCCCGTCTCTCTTGTTTGTCTATAGTCTCAGTACAGGTCTCTGAACTCAGAGCTGAGACTTCAGTCTAATAACACTCTGTCAGATTTACTGAGCAGGATCAGAGTTTGAGCAGCACACAGTCTGAGTGTGAACGAACACACCGCCTCTTTAAATGTTGAGTGAAGTGGTAAAGGGGCTGGATTGATGGACCTTCTCTGGTCATTTATGTGAACTTGTGGACGGTGTCGAGTTATTTTGTGATTCTGTCAATCAGGCGATCGGCTCCGCAGCCCCTCCTCCTCCATTCCCACCAAATACCAAACGGTGATCATCAAGAACACGGAGAGGAGAGGATTCACCTGTCAGTCAAAGCGCTTCACAGACAGAGCGGTGAGTTCATCACAAGCAGAACAAACCATTAATTAGACCAGTTAAACCAGTTAGATACAGGTTTACATTAGATACACGTATGAATTAGACCCAGTTATGAATTAGACACCATTATACATTAGACGCATTTATTCATTTGGTCTAATTATGAATTAGACTTAATTGTACATGAGTCCAAATTAATTAGATCCAATTATATGTTAGTCTAAATAACGAACTGGACCCAATTATACTTTAGTCTAGAATTAGACTAGACTAGTCTGGAATTAAACCCATTTATGCGTTAGAGTCATTTAGTCATTAGACCTAATTATGAATTAGACCCAATTATGCATTGGACCTAATAATGAAACAGACTGTTATGCGTCAGATTTATTTATGAATCAGACCCAATTATGCATTAGACTTAAAAATGAAACAGACTCAGTTATGCATTAGATTCATTTATGAATTAGACCCAATTATGAATTGGACCCAGTTATGCATTAGACCTAATTATGAATCAAACCCAATTATGCATTAGACCTAATAATGAAACAGACTCAGTTATGCCTTAGATCCAGTTATATTTTGGCCTTTATAGAAGCTCTGATGCTGAGTCTTTGTTCAGAATGAAAACCCTGGTCCTGGCTCATATCTGTCTCACACCTCCGCCGACACCTGCAGTCCATCCTTCTCCAAGAAAGGCACTGGAGGCTTTCCATCCAAGGTGAGGCTCTTCACTGCAATAGAGGTTCACAGGTCAGTCACTTCTAAGACTTTTACAGTGAGTATTACTTTCAATGTTCTCTCTTACAGAAGAATCTACCAAATTATGTCACATAGCTGTAAACATTAGCAGCCACCTTGAAGCCTGAGTTTTATCAAGCTCTTTTGTCCATGATTGTAGACAGAGCTGTTTGTAAACAGGGCCAACACAACACTTGTAACATATGCTAGTTGCGTGTATATCTCAGGAACATATCCAAATAAATGCTGCGAAATTTCTCATTGTATATCTGAGGCGACATAAATAACATGATCTCTCAGCAGCCTACTGGTACTAAAAAGATAGGAAGATAGATGCTAAAGCCTACAGATTTTCTCTTCGTTTTCAGGCAGTCCGAGTCGTCCAAAACCCCTACAGAGGGATTCCAGCCCCAAATACCTACAACCTGCAGTCCTCTCTGCTCCGCCGGCATGACTTCAACAGAGGCCTTTCCAGAACCTTCCACTCACCCATCGCAGTCAAAACAGGAGAAAACCTGCTCCAAAAAACACCAGCGCCAAATCACTACAACGTTGGTGGTGACATTTCCACTTTCCCATTGAGTTAATCGTAATTTAGTAAACAGTTTCTGGTAATACTTATTGATATCATTATTGGTAAGCTGAAAGTTAAAGCGATAGTTTGCTGAAAAATAAAATGTACACAGTTTTCCACCTCGATCTTGAAATGTAGTTTAGTCAAGACATGTTTGGAGTCTTGGGCTATGTTCACATTACAAGCCTCATTACTTAAATCAGATTCTTTGCTCAAATCCGATCTCTCTGACTCGATGGTTCACACTCGTTTAGGTAAGTGATTCAAATCTGTCATTAATGTGAACGAACCAGCGTCCTGAAATGACCCGCATCCGCACATCCTACTCAGTAACGTCACGTGAATGAATCACATGCACCACTGAGAAGATCATTAACTCTGATCAGCTCTCAGCTTCATTATTAGAGCGAGACGAAGGAGAAAAAGGTGAGATGTGCTGCTTTTCCACTGTTTACAGGCTTTAACTTCTGTTCGGCGCTGCTGCCATGGTAACGCTGAATGATGGCGCACGCGCAGTGGAAAAAAAAACACATGAATTCCGATCTGAGCGTCACATTAAGGTCGCATGGCCACGAATCGGATACGTATCAGGTCGGATTTGAAAAGATCAGATGTGCGTGTCCACACACCCCTGAAAACATCAGATCTGAGTCACACTGGGGCCAAAAATTGGATTTGTACAACTTCAGCCTGGTAATGTGAACGTAGCCTAAAATCTGCCACTCCAGTTACTTTTTTTTTGTAAAACTAACTGAATATATTTCAGAGAGCTGAGTTTAATCTGTGCTTTGCATTGCCAGGTGACCTACAGTGGAGTGGAGGTAAATTCAATCGTTTCTGCAAAGTCTTCATTTCTTTCCAAAAGCAGAAGGAATGCTGTTTTCACCCCCGTACTGAGAGGACCCTCTCCATGTGAGTAACATTTCATGAGTTTTAGTTTGATACTAGAGATGGTGTCCCTACCTCAGCACTCAGGTAGCAGGTCAAACACATTCCTCCAGGGCTGAGTAACTTATAGAACTACAGTGGAACTCCTTAGTACATCCAGTAACTGTCAGCATAGAGTCTGATGTTTGTTAGACTCTAAACTTCTCTTTTTGGGGTTCATTTGGACTAAAACAGGGGTGTCAAACTACCAGCCCAGCGACAGTTTCATATTCACATATTCATAAATTTATCCTTAAATTTGGCCCATAAATCTTTTTTTTTTCATTTTTCTGTGGCTAAACATTCACATCTGGTGGATATATTTGCTTCGTTCACCATAAGATGTACCTGGTTACCCAACATAAGCTTTATAAAATCAGCAAAATTAGATCTATTCAAATGAAAACCGGACACAGCATGAACGCTGTACGCTTAGAGGGTGTGGCTGTAATTTATCTATAACTAACTTAGCTATTATTATTATTATTATTATTGGTATTATTTTTATTATACTTTAGGCTGATAGTTACTTAAATCTGCCTTCATGGATTCATTCATGACACAGCAGTAGACACAGTGCATCAGAATTCAGAAATGAATGGAATTATCTTATGAATCCACTGAGAATGCAGATTAACCAATGCTTCACTCACAGTAACTTCACTCGTGTTCAGCAATGCTGTTAAAATAAGAGTCCCATATAATTCTACTGTTAAACTTAAGTTTATTTGTATTAATTATATTAACACTAAAATATGTGTTAAACACTTTATAACTTATACTTCTTCTACTACTACTACTAATAATAATAATGAGAAAAAGGAAAAAAGAAGAATTCTTCCTGTTATTATTATTGTTTTTATTAACAGTAGTAATCGTGGTTTGTGGTAATGTCAAGCCACCCATCGGTCCTGCAGTACTGTTGACTAATACTACGGACTCCAACTCCCAGAATCCACCTGGAGATCATGCAACACCGTCCACCAACTACAAACTGTTTCAGAGATCAGCTTCACCTATATATTAATCAATCAGTAAAGGCTGTTTGCTCTCGCTACGCTTTGTGAAGTATTGCCACTGTTTACAGGGCATACCAAGCCTTTTTATTGCTTATTGTGTATCTTGACCCTTTTGTTTGTATTTTTGACTGTGTTTTTGCCTGTGCCCTTTCGGATTTGGTTGCTGTGTTTTTTGCCCTTTGGTTTTGACCTGTGTTTTTCCCTTCACTATGGTTTGTTATCGATTTTTTTCTGGCTTTGACCTGCTCACATGTTTTCTGATTATGATTTTGCATCACACTATTTCTACTAAAACCTCATATACTTTTATTTGCAAGTGTCTGACTCATTGTGCAACATTGCAGGTAACAAAATAATTAGTAATAAACATTAGGATATGCCTAATAAATGTTATGTATTTAAAATTCATATTTGGGAAAAAAAGGGGACAGTTTGTCCCATATGTTACTTCACAACAAATGCTAGATTAAAAAAAAAAACTTTATATAGTTAAAATTTATTCTTGAAAAAATATGTGACACTTTTTTTTTCCTTCTGCCCCCTCCTTGGAGAAGACCACCTTGCTAGTGGCCCCCAGGTAATTTGAGATTAAGACTACTAGTCTAAAATAAGTGTCCAAAGTTAGAGGTAAGACCAGTCGCAAAGCAGTACAGATGCTGCCACCAGTGTGATAGAATGACATGAAACACAAAAAGGAATTTATAACTAAAAAAAAGTTCATGACTGAGTAAAATAGTTTAATTTCCCTACAAATATACTTGCTGCTTTGAGACTAAAAAGCTGGATTCATTAAGCTAATTGTCCAGTAATGACAAAAACATGGCGGTAAAATGAGACTGTTCAATAACTTTTCATCAAATTCACATCATAATAAAATATGTCCTCTCATCTTACGGATACAAATTTCATGTAAAGAATATGAATATGCACTTTGCACTTCTTTTAAAGAGCTATAGGTGAGAAATAATTCATGTAAAACTACAATGTGCTTTCTTAGCACTGCAGGTTCTAAGGGTTGATTCTGCCCTTTTGTTTTTCCCCTCTGTCTTTGCTGTAGGTCATTACAGTGTGAAGGATGCAGTGATCCAGAAGACCCCCAAAGTGCCTTTCTCCTGCTTTAAGTCCACCTCTGCCAGGATTCAGCCGCTGGTCTCCAGTGAAGTTCCAGGTCCAGGAGCCTACAGCCCGTACCAAAGCCCAGAACCTGTCAGGAGAACCATTCTACCGTAAGAGTCAACCCAACATCCACACACAATTATAAAGGATGCTCCTCAACCCAGTCACATCCATATCTGAAATAACCAGTGTCCTTTGGATCATATGTTCTCTGAGCATATCAGAGCCTAAACATGAAGAAAACAATTCAGTTTTATTACGCTATATGACTAAAAAGTGAGTTAACTAAATTTGTCTTGTAACATTAATGTTTAAACGGCCTATATCATGGAAAAAAATACATTTTTCTCACATGTTGGAGGCAAAATTTGATGCTGTGAATCAACATTTTTGAAGTTACTGTTAAACATACAATTCACACCCACCCACTCACTCATTTAGCCCCACCCACTCACACTGAAGTTACAAGGAGTGTTTCAGCACAGACTGCTTTCTGAATGAGGTGCAGCCAATCAGAACAGAGCTCATTTACATATGTCATTCTCAAAGGCACAGTAACTAAAACAGCCTGTTTTATTCTAAGGGATAAATAGAGGTTGGAAATGGTCATATAAAAATGAATTATGACTGTTTTTGGTACATAAAACCACACAAATGTAACAAAAATCAAATGCATGAAAAATGTAGGATATGGGCCCTCAATATTTGATCCCATGGGACTTCTAGAAAATCTAAATTTGATGGTGAGTAATAGTATAAAAATGGCATAAAATGGCAAATCTAAAAAAATTAAAAGAGTACTTTTGGATGTTCATCCAAGATATAAATATACAAAATTCCCATCACTTTAGACCAATCAGAACACATTCTGAAACATTTTTACTCATCATACTACATTCAGGTTTTGGACATGAATGAGTAAAGTTTTAATGGGCTGGATTCAGCAGCCTGCATCACGGTAACTGAGATGGAGTGAAAATATGGTAGATGCTACTGTGCAAAAATAAGTGTCCACCCTTTTATTTATTTCATTTCCAGTCAAAGCAGCCTTTAGGTCCAAGTTATCCATTTTACAGTGTGGGGAAATAAAAGAAAACATATATACCATGAATTTAAACAACTAAATATATTATAATTTTATTTCAGTATTTAGTGTGTCCACTACTTTACTTTCATTACAGCTTTCATTCTTTTCAGGAGACTCATTTTCAGTTTCTCTAAGAAACCTGCAGGGATATTTTTCACACCTCCAAAGTTCAGTCTTAGAAGCTGGTTGATGATTTTCTGAAGTAATCAAACCCATTCAGTGATGTTGAGGTCTGGACTCTGGGGTGGTCAGTCCATTGCTCAGCTTCTTTGTTCGATGTGTCCGTCTCCTTTTCTCAGTGAGGTTTTTCTTGACAGCTGCACATCCTTTCAGACCCACAGCGCTGAGTCGTCTTCTCACAGTGGAAGGATGGACAGAAACACCTGTGGATGTTTTCAGATCTGAAGCAGCTTGATTTTCTCCTCTTTCTCCAAGATGAAAGTTTAAGTGCTGTTTATCTGATGGGGACAGTGTTGGTGTCTACAGGTCTTCCAGGTAGTTGTTCCTTCCTTATGCAAGTGGATTATCTTATATCTAAACTTGTCAGAAATAGCTCCTGAAAAATAAAAACCTTGATGGCTGTTTTGACTGGAAATTAAATAAATGAGGGGTGGTCTTTGACATTTGCTAGTTGTCTGTGACTGACACTTTCACAACAAAACACTTTGAGGAATAACAAACAAGGCACTTTAGTCCCAACTATAGATGACATGAGAACAAAAATGAAGTGGTTTCCTTTTATTTACAGTGTTTCTGTGCCAATATTGCATCTTCACATGATATTTTAGCATGAATTAATGTGAACACATGGGTGGAGTACCTGTTTGTCTGTTTCAGGAGGAGGCATTATTTAGGAATTTCAGCTCCTGCACTAATCCCCCCTAAAGACCCCCCACTGCCCGGCCCGGGGCAGTACAACATTGTGAACTATGACGGGCCACCCAAACACCTGATGGCCAGTGCTGCGTTTGTATCTGGAACAAGCAGGTGGACTCAGGAGACCAGAGGACAGGGAGTACCTGGGCCAGGTAATATTATACCACCTCTGTCTCTCCACCTAAACATGCCTCCACTGCCAGGAGTGAGAGGACTAATCTGTAAATCTCTCCACAGGTTTCTATATGACCGTTTTATATGACATGTTTACAGTACTGTTCAAAGATTTCAATCAGTATTTCCAATAATATAAAACCAATTTGATTGCAAATAAATGTGTAAAAAGATTCCGATGCGATTCTTGTACTTTACAGATTCAGAGGTCTTCGCTAAAGATAATTAAGTTCTAATAGAATTAACATTCACAATAAAGTTTTAATACAATTATTAACCAGCATGAAGTTATAAAAAATGCCATCAAAAATGAAGCTCTGATAAAATTAATATCTAGAATAAAGTTTGAATATCATGAATATCATAATGAAATTCTACAATTAATATCCAAAAAGTTGTCACTAATGAGAATTAAGTTCTAATAATTTTATATGATACCATTGTTATATTATGATCATTAAAAAATGCTAATATAATAATCAAAATTAATCTAAACTCCTAAAAAGATGGTTCTTCAAGGGTTCTTTAATAAGGAAAATGAACACTTAATGAACCCTTTGCATGATTAAAGGGTCTCTTTGTGTCATGAAAGCATTCTTCAGATTGATGGAGAATGTGCTATAGATGGTTCCATATAGAACCTTTTTGAAAAAGGTTCTATATAGCGCCGAAAAAAGCATTCTTCTGTTGTTACAAGCTTGACATCATAACAATATGGGTTAAAACCATCTACCTTTCATTATGCAAAGAACTCTTTAATCATGCAAAGACTGAGTGTTTATGGTTCTATATAAAACAATTTTCGGTAACACTCTCTATGAATGTCACCTTTGTAAGCATCTATAAACACATTTATAACATGTTATTATGTATTCATAAGGCGTTATAAACATTTTTATAACATCTTATGAATGCATTATAACGTTATGAATGTGTTTATAGATGCTTACAAAGGTGATATTCATAGAAAGTGTTACCCAATTTTCTTTGCTAAAAATGCTTTAAGAACCATCTTTTTATGAGTGTATATTAAATACATTCAAATTTATTTGTGGGTTAATCTAAACACATGCTTGTCTTTGTTGGCTTCTTTGTGTTTTACATGATACTGTGTTTATTATACAAAACTCCTGCTCTGTTTAAATGATGTGTCTTTTCTGTTTCAGGCTCCTATGAACCAAATGTGCCCACAAAGCATTCATTCTTATATAATCATGCCCACACATGGATACCAGCCTAGAGCACTGATGATCACCAACATTAAAGCATTTCAGGAAATGTCTGTGAAGACATTTTTAATGAACATTTTGTAACACAATCCTATATTAGGATTTTTCCTTCTACTTGTTGTTGCAGTCATGCTTATGGTGTAAAAAGAGCATCCAGGAAAGGTCAGTATTTCACCCTCTATGGTGCGTAGTATCATCAAAATCTCTGTGTAAAAGGCAACTGAATGTCCGTAACCTTCGTCACTGCATCCACAAAACGTTAAGACTGTAGTATTGTGTGCACAGTGGTCAACACAGCAAAGTCAAAGGTCAACAACATATAGAAACGCTGCTGACTTCTCTGGGCTCGAGCTCATCTGAAATGGACTGATGCACAGTGGAAACATGTATTGTGGTCTGACAAGCCAGCCATTCAGAATGTTTATGCAAATAATTGGCGTCAGATTTATTGGAACAAAGTAGAAAAGGACCATTCGGATTGTTACCAGCATAAAGTTCAAAAGCCATCATGTTTCATGGTAAGGGGGGGGTATTAGTGGGTAATTTGCACACCATTACCACTGAAGGATATCTACGCATTTTGGAGTAGCAGATGCTCCTGTTAAGATGCCGTCTTTTTCAGGGACATCCATGCTTATTTCAACATGACAACACCAAGCGACGTTCCACGCATGTTACAAGATCATGGCCGTGTAATCAGAAAGCGTGGGTGCCAGACTGGCCAGAACTTGACCAGATGAAGACAGCAAAAATCCCACTTTCAAAACTGGATTAATGGGTGTCTTCAGTTCCCAATTGAATAACACATTGTTAAAAGGAAAGGATGGAATGTGGAACTTTTATGGAACGTGTCGCAGGCATCAAGTTTGGAATTACTGTGTATTTACAGCTCAAAGCGAATTTACTGATCAGTGCTTTTAATTAACATTTCACATACAGTCACAACAGTTTTGGAATTGAGGTTTGTATTATCAAGTATATAGAAGTAAGTCTATATGGAGAGTGCCTTTACTTTGTATATTTAACATGGCTTATGCAATACAGAAGGTATTTTTCTTCCAGAAAAGAAGGGTAAAAAAGACACTGTATGTCCGAAGTGAGAATGGCTACTGTAATCTTTATGCTTAATTGTTATGCCCCAATGAATAACCTTACACATATAGACTTAGCTGCTGATCCTATTTCAGTATTTTTGTGTGAGTGAGACTAAGAAATTTTGTCTGTTTTGACCCACGCAGGACATACATATTATGTGTTGAAAAGCGATTCTAAAAGCATTTAGAATAGCAAAGCTATTCTGAAGCACTGCATTGCATGAATACAGGCCCCTAATATTTGACTTAGAGTGTAAAACAGATCTCTTACATGTTGTTGATTTTAAATGATGTTTGTTTAGTATGTTTGTAAAAAAGCAATTATGTCTTTTTTTGTCATGTAAACATTAACATGGCGGCAAATATTTTCCTGCCTGACAAGTTTTGATTACAACACAGTTCAACTCAGCAACATAGCATTTTAAACTGGAAACTCAGAGTAACAACTCCATACAAAGATCACTTCAGTTTTCTATAAGGTTGAGTGGGCTTTTGATCCATAAAGCCTGTACAACCTAGCAACAGTTGCTATGAAGAAATGCATTTGTGTATTTGCACTACCTTTCAAAAGTTTGTAATCATTTGACATATTGATTATTTTTGTTATTTTATATTCAATAATAACTTATACAATGTATATTTAAATATTAGAGACTGGAGGCCAAAATGTATTTTATATGCTGTATTCAATATTTCAGTCATTTTGGGAACATTGAGAAGTTTGCAATAAATAACACACTGTAATTATCTATTTATAGTTATTTCTTGTCACAGTATATACCTTCAGATGTGGTCACTACTTTTCAAAAATTAGGCATTCTGGATGATAATTTCATTATAATCTCATTCTGGATATTAATCATAACTTAATTTGGATTGTAATTTTAGTAGAACTTCATTCTGGATATGAATTCTATTAGAACTTCATTCTAAATAACACATTTATTATATCTTTATTCTGAATATTAGTTTTATTATAACTTCATTCTGGATATTAATTTTATTAGAATTTCATTCTGGATATGAATTCTATTAAAACTTCATTCTAGATAATAATTTATTAGAACTTTATTATGGATATTGATTTTAGTAGAACTTCATTCTAGATAATACATTTATTATGTCTTTATTCTGGATATTAGTTTTATTATAACTTCATTCTGGATATAAACTTTATTAGAACTTCACTCCGTGTATTAATTTTATTAGAATTTCATTCTGGAGATAAATTCTATTAGAACTTAGTTCTAGACAATAATTTAATCATAATTTTACTCTGGATATTCATTTTACTAGATCTTTATTCTTGATATAGATTTTATTAGATCTCCACTCTGTATATTAATTTTATTAGAATTTCATTCTAGATAATATTTTATTCTGGAATTATTCTAAAGTTAATTATAATTAACTTTATTCTGGATATTAATATTATTAGTACTTCATTCTGGTATATGAATTCTATAAGAACTTCGTTCTAGAGAATAATTTTACTAGAACTCTGTTCTGGATATTAATTCTATTAGAACTTCATTCTAGATAATAATTTTATTCAAACTTTATTCTGGACATTAATTTTATTAGAACTTCATTCTGGATATTAATTTATTAGAACTTAATTCTGGATATGAATTCTATTAGAACTTCATTCTAGAAAATACGTTTTATTAGAACTTTATTCTGGATATTGATTATGTTAAAACCTCAATTTGGATGTTAGTTTTATCAGAACTTCATATTATAATCATTTTAAAGACGTCTAAACTGCTTTTATAGTACAGAAAATATTGTTTACAAACGTTTTTGACTGTGATTGCAGATTTTTGAATGGTAATGTTTTTGCTGCTCCTCTATACCATTTCTGCTGATACCCTCAGTGACAGACAAGCAACAGCCATACAGCAAAAGTGCTGAATATTAAACACCATGTCAGAGCGCTACATGACATATTGTCACTGCTAGTTATCAGTGCTGAACCGTTTGTCTGAAATGCATTAGACCTCACAGACCTTTGCTGTGGATGCAGATATGAGCCCCTTTGCTAAAGCCTGCTTTCGCAGTGACTCAGATCGACAGCTGACAGCCAGAGACACAGCTGAGCTTTACGTCTCTTTTTGCTTAGCAGCTGATCTTGGATCAATTAGATCTGCTTAGCTGGGTTTTGCCTGGTGTTAAGGATGGCTAATAGACTGATCCTGAAACAGTAGTGAAATAGACAGAGTAACTGGAGCGCATAACCACAGCAACTGTCGTGGGCTCTTTGAGGGCGTGGATGTGCACGTCAATGTGAGCAATGTGGAAGGAATCAAGAGAGACATATGTTCAAATCAAATGCTAGAGGCAGCTTGTCCTCAGTTAACACAAACCCTTAGAAGTCCTAGAGTCATTGTTGTTTTACATCTTATTTACACCTCTGGTGCAAAGTTTATGCACCATTACTGTATATTTGATTCACTTGAAACATGGAAAAAAATAGTTATTATAATAGTTATTTTGGCATGTGCAAAAGTCTGGACACCCTACCAAGTCAGTACTTAGTAACACCACCTTTGGCAGATTTCACACCTTGCAAACACCTTTGGTAGCCACCTAGGAGTCTTTCTGTTCTTGTTTTAGGAATTTTCAGCCACTCTTCCTTGAGGAATACTTCTAGTTCTGCAATAGTTTGGGCCATCTTGCATGCACAGCATGTTAAAGATTTTCCATGTTCAAATCAGACGATGGTGAGTTCTTAAAACTCCAACTTACATTCCTTGAAGTAGTTCATGGTAGATTTTTAGTTATGTTTGGGATCATTGTCCTGTCTTAGATGCCAGACTCTTTTTAGCCTCATTCAGTCACATTTTCTGATATTTAGAGGAATCCATTCTTAGGTCTACCTGTGCAGTGTTTCCTGTGTTAGTGGCTACCACACAGGCCCAATAGCATAATAGAACAATCATCCTCTTTAACAGTAGACAAGGTGTTCTTTTCATCAAATGCTTCTTCTTTTTTCTCCAAACACAACTTTGGCGATTGCAGCCAAATAGTTTCATTTTTACTTCATCGGACCACAGCACTTGTTTCCAAAATGCCTCTGGCGTGTTTTGTACCCTTCAAATGTCAACTTTTGTGATGAGGTAAGGTTTCCCTCTGATGACTCGTCCATGCAGATCATGTCTATGCAAGAATACTGCACAGGAGTTCACTACCACTCCTGTATCAGCGAAACATTCCTGCAGACCCTTTGCGGTCACATGGGGGTTTTGCTTTGCCTTTCTGCATACGAGCCCTTAAGTGCCATTTCTTAATGATGTTTCAGAAAATGAAAACCAGTCAAACCAGTCCTAACAAGTTAATTAAGACCTAACGAGTTAATTAAGTTGTATGACTTTAGAACTGGAAGCATATCCAAACTACAACCTCAGTCACTGTTCTACTTTTTCTATTTTTTTATTTACTCAAATATAAAGTAACTGTGATTAACAAAAAATGTGTTTTTTAAAGTTTTTTAAACTTCTAAGGGTTAAAGGGGTAAAGAGGTCATTATTGGCCTATACAGACTACATATTATGCATATTATAAAAAACCTACACTGCCCTGTGGAAATGTTTTCGAGTAGATTTGTGGTGTTATGTCATGCTACGACTTTACATGTTATGTGGAGTGCCGTGCTATCAATAGCTTCTGGTCAGATGTTGCAACTGCGTTGTCTGTTGCCACGGGCATTAGTCTCATGACTTCCCCTGCCCTCTTCCTTTAAGATGATGACTCTTTGTTGCCGCTCACTCTATGACACTGCAGGATCCTTTTTGGAGTGTTTACAACAGCAAGAGAGTTCCCACTTGGCGTTGGCGCTTGGACTCCTAAGTACACAACAGCAATGGTACACATGGCTATATGAACATATGGATTTCCTAATCTCCCAATTCGAACAGTTTAAAAGTTTATTCAAAGGTTCTAACCTAAAGTCTCAAATCTCTTTCTCAAGACAGATTAAACATTGAGGGTTTCAGCATGTAGAAGGTTCCTCACACCTGCTGCTGGTGGCCGTTGTGGGTGATATCAGATTTATGATTCATGGCAGCTGTGAGGCCCTCCCACAGTAGAGCAGATGCAGCCTTAAGATGAATTTACCAAAAGGCTTTGCAGCATTTAACTTATCATATACCATCTTTACACAGTGGACTATTTTATCCTTCGAATAGATTGTTTGACAAGAACAAATGCAGTTGATTGGCCAAGACATCTGGTGTCTGAGGTTTGCTTCTTTAGTTTTACACTGGAGCTACAAGGTTAATGTAGCTAACAAGTACTGGAAGCTCTACCAATTAGCATCATGCTCTCTGTGTTTTGCTCAATAATTTAATCATTCATAGTTGATAATGTGTACGTATAAAAAAGAGATCACAGCACGTCAACACTTGCAACTGAATCATGAATTAACACCATTTAAAAGAAGAAAAAAATAATATATGAGTTGACAAATAAGAGAACCAGCGCAAGAAGAGAGAGAGATCTACAAACAGCATCTGGACAAGTTATTATGCAGCCTAAATCCAACCTCCAGTAAAATCGTTGTTACTGCATTGAAATAATGACTGCGGTAAATATATATACATATATATATATATATATATATATATATATATATATATATCTTTGTACATCCAGCAGCTGTCAGCTTAGAAACTGCATGTATTCCATGCTGGTCTAAGCCAGTCTGAGCTGGAGAGCTGGATTATGCTGGTTCAGCTGGTCACCCAGCATGGTCATGGTGCTTGACCAGCATACCAGCATCCAGGTAGCTGTCTAAGTAGACCAGAAGTCAGTTTTGTATATTAAAAAAGTGCCACTTTTCTATACATTATCAAGCTAGACAGCCTCTGGCCCCAACATGGTCCACCAAAGTGGCCTAAAACACCAAATGCTAGGTGGGTGTGCCACACATTTGCTATTGCTGGGGTAGTTTGGGGTAGAACATCCTCCCCTAGTCACACTGGTTTATTTGGCTTGTCACTTTTTACCCCTCTGAAGACAGCTGGCAACATTGGAATGTTTGTGGGGTAACATTAGGTCAACATGTTCCTGAAGACTGAGTTACAGTACACTTTAATATTGACTGAACAAAGATCTTACAGACAGCGGTGGAGTTCTTTTCGTTATCTGGATGTGATCTACAGAAACTGGATAAAGTCTAAAGTAACCAATTATGGAAAAGTGTAAATGATAGCACAGTGATACTGCACTAACTGAACTCCCGTGCAGTAAACATTGTCACTATCTGTGTAAAAAGCATATTTTCATGTACATGTGTTAGCTGCCTACTGTCCACCAGGTTGCATTCATCTGATTTTCCCTAGCCTGTCTTACTTAACTAGCCAACTATACTGCGTTAGAACTTAAGGAACTGGACTGAAGGCCTAACATATCAGATTAACTACTAAATAGTTAAGAATTTACACTGGAATTAATCAAGTTTTGATTTCCTGCTAGGAAAAAACAGCATAGACCAGCATGGCTGGTCACCAGCAAAATCAGCATATGTTGTGTTTTGGATGCTGGTATGCTGGTCAACCAGTAAAAGTAAAAGAGTCACTGTAAAACTGATACAAGCTAAAATATGTTTATTATATTTATATGTTGTTTTAAACTAGAATGTCATTTGCAAGATT